AATTCAAGAAATTTAAATAAAAGATTATATACAACAAAGGGATATTTTACAAAATAAGTACATTAGTTTAAATACTATAATGAGATTGACCACAATTTTGATATTAAAAAATGCTACTTGATTAAAAAGTAAGCAATTCACCAGGACAAAAATGTTAGAAAGCTTTTTTTAATCATTAGATCATCCACATTTTTTTTTTTTTATTTCTAAATTTTTTTTTTTCAGTTCTTTATATATATTTTTATTTTTTTGATTTTAATTTATTTTTTTTTCCCATTTTAGTTTTATCCAAATAATTTGATTAGTTTTTTTTTTTTTTGATTTTTTTTTGAATCCTTTTTTTTTTTTTTCACCTAGCTATAGATTAATTTAAGACTTTTTTCAAAACAATTATATCAAAAAAAAATATTTTTTTTTTTTTTTTAATCTGTAAAAATTTTTGAAAAACTAAAAAAAAAAAAAAAAAAAAAATATATATAATAATAATAATAATAAATAAATTAATAATAATAATAATTTTAATAATTTCTGTAAAAAGAATAAGAAGAATGTAATACAAAAGTACATTTTTTTAACACCATTTTTTTCCCGAGACAGAGGCATGCCAGAGTTTTACATTTCTTTTTTTTTTCTAATTTGGAGATTTTTGATTAGGTGAGAATCCTCATTCTTTTGTTTGCAAAGTGATATTTTTTTTTTTTTTTTTGCTTTTGTGATATTTTCTTTTTTTTTTTGCTTTTATAAATGCAACATTTTTTCAATACAGCAGATGAGATTTTTTTTTTCCAGCCAAGTTCTAAATAATTTTTTTTTTTGAAAAGTTCTCAATTTGACCAACTTCCAAAAATTTATAATAAATTTAAATTTGTTTAATTTATGGGAATATTTTAGTGATATAAGTATTAAGATTGTCAATATGTTTATATTTTCTCCATAATTATCTCTAAAAAGAAACAATTTCCATTATAACATTCATTTTAAAACAAAATGTAAGAAACATCTGTTAAAAATAAAATTTATCTCATTGCTTTTCAGATGAATTTTGTCATATAACATTATGAAGTATGAAATTTATTTTAAATGATTTTTTTTTCTTCCTCAAATGAAGTAAAGTTGAATCATGTATCTTGACAAAAAAACACAGCAGATTTTAGATAGGGTGGAGGTAGTTCCAACTATGGATTTACATAGGCAAATCCCAGTCAGTGATGAAGGAGATATTCTGTCCAAATTATTAATTTTTGTAAATTGCTCAGCAGAAGTAAGCTGTACCAACTGCTGTCTAAGCACACCCCCACACTATAGAAGTGCTAACCATAATCAATGAAAAGCCACATGTTAAAAACCCAATATATTGAAAGCAGAATTTGAATTTTCATTCATCATGATATTTTCACCTTATGTTCCCCTGTAAATGTATGTCAGTTTCAGGTATGAAAACTAGAATTACCACAAATTGGGATGACCATTTGCCTAGTTGATCAAAAAAAGTTTGAAAAGGACTCTGACAGTATATTCACACATGAGTTTAAATTATTGAAATTTCTATATCTTTTAACAGTTTCATCCAAATATAAAACAAAGAAATTTTTGGTAAGGTCAGTTTTGTTTATTTCATTTTTTGCCCACCCATGTTGTTTTTTGGTTTCATGAACTAAGTAGAATCTGAGTTTTATATTAAGTCATATATTGATTTTGAAGTATAAAGCTTAAATATTCTGGGAAATTTTTGCAGTCTTCAGATTTTTTGACAGCAATGGTTCATTCAGTTTTTTTCCATTTGCCTTTTAAAAAATAAAAAATTTTTCTTTAAAATTTTTTGCAACTGAATTTTCCAGATGGCTGCTCTTTTTCTCATGATTCAACCTAGTTTTTACTTAATCGTAATGGGTTTTAAGTTAACATTTTAAATTTAAAGAATTTTTTTTAAAACTGTTCCAAGTTTAGCCTTTTTTTTTTTTTTAAGAAACACACTGTTAAAAAACCACTTGATAAAAATTAATAATTCTTCACAAATTTTTTTTTTAGAACAAATTTATTTTGAGACATTGCTTGTTGGTTTGAAATAGAAATAAACGTCTAGTTGAATTTTTATGATTCAGAACTGGATGACCATATAGATATATATGTTGGATATTTCAATCAAACAATGAATTTTACAAAGGAAATTTAGAAGGGAGGAAAAAGAATTAGATACAAAAAAAAAAATTTGCTTGTTTAACAATATGTTATAAATATACATCTTATATATATTAATTCCATTGTAATTTTTTTTTTTAGAAGAAATAAAATAATGTAATTCATTTTTTAATAAGTCCTAGCAAAGCATTAAAGGCCAAAAATTATTGATATCTTATATTGGCATTTTACATTATAGCCAAAAAAAGGGGAAAGAGGTTGCCAATAACATGCCCTCTATCTTATACAATACTAATCCAATTTATGAGTAAGTTCATTTGAATTTTTGTTTTTTTACATATAATTCCAAGAAAAAGTAAAAAAAGCATATTTTTTTAAAAATTTGATATGTTAAAAGTACCTCCACTAATTAAGTAATGGTAACCTTAAAATGAATTTTTAAAAATGAATCCTTATTCTTTTTTTTTTTAGCTTTAATTGAAAGGTAAATGATTTAAATTTACTATTTCCAATAAGCAAAAAGTGAATTTATAAAGAAATTTAAATTGATTATTGGTTGGAGTTTTTTGTTATTTTTAAAAATAGTTGATTAGTGCCCTTTTTTAACCATCTGTCATCACAATTTTATTTTATTAAAATATCTTCTAAAAATAAACTATACTATTCTGAAATTAGCTGATTTAAAGTATAATTAATTTAATTTGAAATGTTATTTACTTGAAAATTGAAGTTGAAAATATGATAAATAGATTTTTAAAACAAAATAGTAGTGCAATTAAGTACTTGTCAACACCTTGTATATTACTTGAGTGTTTTACAAGGTGTTGATACTTTTATTGTTCTTCTACAGAGTCCTTATCTGTTAAAACCTAATTTAAGAAAATGACTGAACACTTTTTTTATACAATTTTTAAGTACTCAGCAATTTTTAAAATGTTGGAAATATCCTCTGTAATCTAATTTTAGGAATGTAGACTTTATCATGATCAATCTTATTTTCTGATACTGTTGTGTATGGTCACCCATACTTTCAAAATCTGCACATTTATACACATAAAAAAAAAAAAAATTTAAATTATCTTAAAAACCTTTAGGATGATGATTTGTATTAAGCTTTTCAATTTTTGCTTAGTAAATATAGTATTCAATTAACCTAACAAGAACGGATTTGGGAAGTATTTTTAAAACTATAAATTATTATAATTTAAAAAAAAAAAAAAATTAAAACAATTGTAAAAATTCATTATTCATCAAAAACAAATTTTTTCATGCCCTTAATATATATTATGTAGAAAAGCAATTAACAACTTATCTAATTAAATAATTGCAGATTTTATTTTACAATTTGGAGCAGATTTTAACGAATCTGGTAAAAGTTTGTTTTATATAAAAAAAAAAAATTGATTTACATTCTCCAAGGAGTCTTGCTTTTAACTAAAAAAATTGGGAGATCAACTTTAATTTCTAAAAAATTCATGAAATTAAGTGTAACAGATGTTTTAAAAAAAAAAAAAATTATTTCAAAAATAAATTCATTCATTTGTAACACCTGAAAGTTTCATTAAAATGACAATTATTTGATTTTTGCAAGACTTTCCAAATTGTGGTATTTTACTGGAAAACAGGTGGGTGCAAAAATAACCATTACTAGTTCTGTTACACCATTATGTTATGCTATTTTTTTCTTATTTTTTTCCTTCAGCGAATTATTGGAGGTACCTATATTACTATATCTTTTACTGACAGACAAAAACTTAATTTTACCTTCTATTTTTCTTTTAAAGTTGATGGCCCAATGATTAAAAAAAAATTGTCTGTTTACCTCTGTTGGACATTTGAATCCTCACATGATTATAAAAGGAAAACTGCATTTATGCCATTTTGTAAAAATGAACATTTTATAATGCATTTAGTTTGATTCCAGATTCTATACTTTTCATCTGATCCTCTTGAAAATAAATAAACAATGTTTCATGATTTTCTTTGCTATTTCCATATGAAATTTTTATCAATACAAAAAATTTTCTTGATAGGTGGATGAAAATTTATTATTTGAAATTAAATCTTAACATTAAAGTTAACTATATCAACTAGCTAAGTGATGGTTTTTGTATGCAGCTGATAGTGTCACTCAATGTCTTGCCAGAAGAATTTGCCTTAATTTAAAAGCTACCAGTTAAATGTTTCATTTGATAAGTGATTTATGGGTGTCTTCTTTTTCTTCCTAATTTAATGTAAAATATATTCATTCTAATGATTAAAAAAATTGATTACATTATTTCCTAAAGTTTACCGAGAAAAATGTAAAGAAGAGTGCAGAGAAGGTTTTTTATTTATTTAAATTACCAATTGTTATTGTTGTTTTTATCAGCATTATTTTATATATATATATATATATATATATATATATATATATATATATATTTTTGTGTGTGTGCTTTCAGCAAATTTTAATAATCAACACTGTCATTTGCTTCCAATTTCATTGAGACTCACTTGTTGAAAACAGATTTAAGAAATACTTGAATTGTTGGCAGGATTTAGGAGCTTGTATGTTAACTTTCGCTTTCATTTTGAAGGTTCTAAAACAATAGTTATTCTTTAGAATAACATGAAAATAATTCTGTAATTCAAGGTGCCTGATTAAATTTCAAAACTTGTAAATTAATAATTAATAAGGATCTAATTTTAAAACAATTTTAATTTGTTATAATTGATGAGGGATATTTTCAAATATTTCTTTATTTAAATGGATTTTAAGATTAGAACTCAAACTTAATATATTGTTTGAATGCATTGTTTTTTTTTTTTTTTCCTCCATATTTGACAGAGTGAACCAAAATAATCATCATTCCTCTCCTATGCACCATGGCCATCACGGAGTACAGGCTGCAGGCCATCTCTCTGGTGTGCCTTCCAACCAACAACAAGTAAGTGTTAGACACAAATAAAACAAATTTATTATTATTATCAAGAAAGAATTTGGGGAAAACTAAAGAAAAGAATCTGCTACTACTGTTGATGCCATCCTTCTATGGCCTTTAATATTCTACTTCTCCATTATGTACTTGTATGATAGTTAAGGCCAAATTTGGAAATTTGTGATTATGACAACTCTGTATAACATTGATAAATCTTGGTACCAAACATAAAATTGGAAAAGCATTTGAAAGTGCTACTGGCACAATCATATATTACCAGGATTTTACTATTATATAAAAAGTGATGGAAAAAATTTCAGATTTATGCAATTTAGGAAAACTTCAGTAGAAGAGTTAAGCTTAATATTCCAGCAACAAATTAGATTAATTAAAAAGAAACAGAAGCTGTAAGCAGGTGTGGTATATAATTAAAAAGGTTCAGCAAAATGATAGAAATTTGTAAAATTGTGACCTTTTAGTGGTAACACTTACAAATATTGTATAACAAAAAATAGGAAAATTAATTACTATAATTTTCAAAAGAAAGGTCATATAATAAAATATAATATTAATAACTAGAAAAAGTAATTTTTCTTCATGTAGGAAATTTAATTAATATGGTTAAATTTAGTTTTGAGTATTGAGTCTGAAGAAAAATTAAATTTAATATAAACTTGGAAAATTATTTGCAATTTACCAATTTAAAGTTCCTAAATAGTTAATTCTTTAGGAATAGCACTAAAAATTGCAGCTGAAGTTAATTGTCCAGTTTCCTTTCATGAGGGGACTATAACTGTTGTTCGTACTACTGTTAATAATATAACTAACAATTGTGTAATGTTCTTGTATATCTTTTTTTTTTTTTTATATGATTTCAATATATTTCTTATGGATATAATATATTTCAGGCTCATAATAATACTCCAAGCCAAGGACAGCAACAACAGCAACAACAATTTCAAAGATTAAAAGTAGAAGATGCACTGTCATACCTTGATCAAGTTAAAGCCCAGTTTGGGAATCAACCTCAAGTTTATAATGATTTTTTGGATATCATGAAAGAATTTAAATCTCAAACGTAAGTGTCTATGTGAATGTTGTGTGTATTGTATTAATAAAAATTGATATTTTACTTTCTGGTAATTAGATTTTGTAATCTGACTTGGTGTGCCCTCATGAAATAATTAGTACAGATTTTTCTAAAACAAAAATACTAAGATATGATAAAATAATTGAAATGTTAGTATTTTCTGCTTACTTTTTGTTCATACTAAATATTTTTTGACTTGCTGTGCACAAAATATCTAAAAGAATGACAATATTGTTGCTATGGAGTTTTACTCAATATCACTGTTTCTATCATTCCTGCTCCTGCAAAGAATATTAGGACTAGCTTTGTCATCAAGATTGAAAATTGTTTTGACAACTTTAGTTTATATAAAATTCATTAACAATGTACATTATATATTTAATTCTTAAATTGTAGGAAAAATTTTTATTTAATTCTAATCTTTAATATTATATTTTCTCGATTTCTTACTGACTAGGAAATCATTTGTATCAAATGTCTTCAATGTTAGAAAACTGAAAATAAAACCTTTTTATTCAACAATTACATCAATATTTGGTGTCTAATATGCAGATGCAACTCAATTATACAAAACTCCCACTAAAATTAGATCCTTTATTTTTCTATCAAAATTTTGACCTCACTGACTCTGAAAAGAGTGCTTATTGAGGTAACTTATATAACTTTGACGCTAATATATTGATAAATTTTCAAACTTTTTGTACACTCATTAATATATAAAAATTTTTATCAATTTTATTTCAGAATTGACACTCCTGGAGTAATAAATCGGGTTTCCAATTTGTTCAAAGGCCATCCTGAACTGATTGTAGGTTTCAACACATTTTTACCACCAGGTTATAAAATTGAAGTTCAGGCTAATGAAATCAATGTAACCCAACCAAATCAGCAAGTAGTATCAATCACTAATAGTGCACTACCAACTTCAACTCCAGGTCCAGGTTACACTGTAAGTATTTTTTAAAAATATTGAATATCTTAAAATAAGTTATTTTTGTGCCTTTTTTCACTAATGATTAGTTTTCTTTCAATAAATGCACTTCTTTTGTTACATTATTTTTTTTTCTAAAGGACAATGAAGATCATTTTCAACAATTTCTATTTAAGAAGGCATACAATTTACCTATTTTACATTGCCTGCTGTTTTGATGTCCTTGCAAAATGAATTTGTTAATCATAACATTATCATAGTCACTTGGCAGTTTATGCTTTCTAAGTTAGGTATTGATAGTTTAATCTCTAAAAATATAAACAAATTTTAAAATATTCAGGATTAAAATGGCTTTTACTGTTTCTACAGAAAAATTTGTCTAATGTTCCTGGTGCTTCTCCGAATGGCTGCACAACCAATCAACATTCACAAAACCAGCCCTCAAGAGTGAATACTGAGATTCCTACTCCTAATCAACATAGTAATTCTCAAGGACAACCAGCAAGTCAACCTGTAGAATTCAATCATGCAATCAACTATGTTAATAAAATTAAAGTAAGTTATGTAATATATAACTAGTATACAAATTTATTTTTCAATCTCCTGTTTAGTTAAATAAATTTAGTATCTGAAATTTTCTATTTTCTTTTTCTTGCCATCTCCCTCCTGAATGCTATTCTAAATACATTTAAAAACTGGTTTTACAGAACAGATTTCAAGGACAACCAGAAGTTTACAAAGCATTTTTGGAAATTTTGCATACTTATCAAAAAGAACAAAGAAATCTGAAAGAGGTGAGTCATATTTATTTTAGTTGTACCAGAAAAGGGAGTAAAAAAATGTCATTTTTATCAAGCTTTTTCTTTTCTTATTTTCCCCTCTTCATGCTATGTGTAAGCAATAAGCAGCTGGACATGTGTTAAGCTTAGGCCCTTCTGTCTCTGGAGCATGTACTCTATTTAAATAGTCAAATAGCTTAACTAATGTTTATATTCAGATTAGTTTTAATTTTTAGGGAAACAGCATGAAACTAAAAAAAAAAATTTAGATGAGTTTTTTGATTAGGTTTTTGACAATTCCATCAATTGGAATTTTCTCTTTTCTAGATCTTACTGCAATACATTTTGTTGATTTGTTTTCAAATAGTTGCATAGCAAAAGAATCATTTTTATAGACAAACCTATTGGAAAAACAAAATTTAAAAAATTAGGAAAACTTTTCTCCAGATTCATATAATTTAATCATTAATTAATAAAACAAAAAAAATTGGAAGCTTTGTCTCAAACTTTCAAAGTTTTTTTATATATATATATATATATATATAAAATTAACCCTAATACTATTAATTTGAGTATAATCATTTCAAATCTTTGATATGTCTCTGTTATTTGTTAAGCATTGCCACAAATAGTAATGCGAAACCAGGATAGCTTACTAAGTATTACTCCATGCCAAGGCACCTTGGATACAATTGATGGCCTAATGGTATTTTTCTGAATATTATATCCCCTGCTATAGTCATAAGCTGTGGCAGTACTGTCATAATCCATTTTAAGTAAAAGATTACTATATTTTTCTTTTTGTTTAAATTGAATAAAACTGATATATTTGCAACATACCTGTTTAAAGATAAGCTTCAATACTGAATTTAGAAAAGAAATAGATTACTTTTCTTTTTTTTCTTTTTGCAATTTTCAATGCATCCAAATAGTGATTAAACTGGATTAGAATCCTGTCAATATAAATTTCAAATTTAAGTTTTGATTTTTAAATACAACTGAAAGATTAAATTCACTGAAAAAAAATTCTAGATGTTTTGACCTTTTTAATAAGCTTATTCAAATACTGTTTTTTATTGTATTTATTCAGAAAATTAAAGACATTTTAATGAGAGGAAGGTTTCTACAAAGAATGTAAAGCAGTTTTTGTAAAAAGTCTGATCAGTATTTCTGAGCAAATTTTATTAGAATTTTCAGTATGTTGAATAGTTTAATTTTCAGTATATTGTTGGATCAAAGTTGTTTTTAATTTCCATAATGTTAAACCTTTTTATTATTAATACAAATAATTTTGAATCCTTTTGCTTTGAGATATTTCTAAATAATAATAAAAAATGCATAGCAATACTAGGATGTGTGTGTGCGCCTGTGTGCATGTTTATTTTTTCATTTTTTAGTAAAATTTACAGAATTATCTTTTTATGTTAACTATTTCACTTTTGAGTGTTACAACACACCATTACCTAAAAAAAAAAAAATATTCTACATAAATGAAAGGTTCACTACCTAATCAAGAAGGGATTGCAAAAGTAAAATCTGCAAACCTTTGTTAAAGTATAAGAAAATCTATTATTAAATGTATCACAGCAGTTGTGATTTGTGCATATTGTAGTATATTGTATGCTTCAATGTCACTCTCACAAGTTTGGTTCTCGTGACTACCAATGACTTAAATAGTCTCCTCTTTCTTCAATTAATTTGACGTGTTATCATTTGCTGATAAAACAATGCTTTACTCAAAAATTCTCTCCCAGTTAAATTCTTGACTCATCAGGAGTATCTTTGTCTTACCTTACATTTAGAACCGAATCTCTGTTGTGTGATATGTATATAACTCTGTTCATTGTTTCTGCTATCATTTCCAAACTTGATCTCCACAAAGTATGTGAACTCAATTAATTCTCCTTAGTAAATGTACTCCTGCACTGCCCCCTGTTCTTTCTAAGCTCTACAATAAATTCCTTGCTGTTTCTTGTTTATTGGAAATCCTCTTCTGCAATTCTTGAGAATTCTGGTGAATCATCTGATACTTCGAACTATCACCTATTAATCTACCTCTTTAACGCCAAATTGGTTAAGCATGGTCATGTTTCATAATCAATATAGCTTTTGCTTTAAGTCTACAAGTTTTTGCTAAATGTCTGTCAAGCTTTACCTGAGAATGGCGAAGTTTGGGTTGTTGGTTTAGATATCATGAAAGTGTTTAACAGGGTTTGGTATGCTGATTTTCACAAGTTGAAGGGTTACGGTGTTTCTGGTCAAATTTTTGATTTGATTCAATCTTTATTATCAAATAGCATAACAAAAGTTATGATGAAGAGTGACTATAGAACTTTTTTGCATTAATGCAGGTGTGGCCCAGAGGGTCCTATCCTTGGACTTTGTACCTTATTTTCATCAATGACCTTCCTGATGTTATCAGTTCACAACTTGATATCTATGTTGATGAAACAATTTGTCTGTCTCAATAGGAAGCTGATCTGAAAAATGACTTTCAATCTGTTCACTGAGGCAGAAATGGCTTGTTAATTTTAATACCACCAAAATGAAGCTGCAGTCTTAATCATCTTGGAGAACATGTTTTGCCTTACATCAGTATGGCTGATGATAACCTCCAAGAGAGCAACTCATCAAGCCATCTCAGTCAAACGTTTTCCACTAACATGAAATGGAAAGATTATATTGAATCAATTTTTGTAGAGCTAGACAATTTTTCTCACCAGAATCTCTTACACCTTTATAAGTCTACCATACATTTGTGCATTGAATATTTCTGTCACACCTGGTCTGGTGTTTCTAATGTATATCTAGAGATTCTTAACAAAATCCCCAAAAGAATCTTCCAACATATCAGTCTTGACCTGGTATCTTGGCTTCAGTCATTTTCCCACTATTGTAATGTAGCTTCCCTGTACCTTTTTATTTTTTGTTTTTTATTTTTATTTACTTTTTTTATTTTTTTTATTTTTTTTTTATTTATTTATTTTTCTTTTGTGGTAATTGTTCTCATGTACTTGCTTCTTTGATGCCTCAAATATGCCAATTTAAGTTTACTAGATTGGCAGTTAGGTCTCATCATTTCACTGTTGAAATTGCTAGTTGTAACCACAAATTCTATGCTAATAGTTTTGTTTCTTCTTTTGTACTTCTTGTTTGTGGAACTCTCTTCCATATTCATGCTTTCCTGTCAACTATGATCTTTAAAACTTAAATACATTATCGTCTTTTATCTCCTTAAATCCTGTTCCTTTTATTGTCTTAGTTTCTTTCACTTTCAATAATCCCTTGTGACTTAGTAGCTTTTATCACCTTGTTTGGGGTGAAATGATTAAAAATAAACAATATTGCAAGTGCAAAGTTGATAAAACACATTTGAATCAAGATTAGTGCTAATTAGCATACTTTCTAAAGGAGAAATTATCTTTGCAAAAAGATGAACCAAAGTCTGTTCTCATTATATATGCCATGTAACATTCTGGAGTGTTAATTCCTATATTAGCCAAATGTCACCACTACTAAAAATAAGACAGTATCATTTCCATTTGATTATCAGAAATTTGTATGTTAGCCAGCCAAGGCTAAACAGAATAGTGAGCAATGAGTTAATATTTAAATACTTTTGGGAGGTTCATGTATAAGAATAAGTTGTTTAAAATAGCATACTAGTAATTTCCACAATTCATTTCTTTTATTCACATTAATATAAATATAAAATTTTATTGGTAATAATTTTAGCTATGGTTATAACATGTTACACATTTCAGCTATTATTTGTAGAAAAACAAGTGATTGGATTATCCTTGCATTTTTAGGTTTTAGTTTTATTAAGAATTAATATCAACAATAAATATAAAACTTGGAACTCTTTGGTACTTGTCTGGCATGATAGAAATATCATACAATAATGGTACTCCTCTCTTTTATTATATGTTGTATTTTTGTTTTGGTTTCTGAAATGAATCGGTTTTTTATGAAGGGGTGTAGTTTTATTAAAAAGTTGCAGAGTGAAAGTGCAGCTGAGATGATAGTCTTACTTTTATCTCAATAATTTGGTAATGATGCTGCCTGATCTTACTCTATTCTTAATAGGGATCAGTGAATTCTTTTTCTTCTACACAAATTTGTGATCTGTGTAGAGAAAACATAATTGCAAAAATAAAGAAAATTTGAGATTTTCATAAAATATGGATAAAATTTAGTCCCACTTTTGAAATTATTTAAAAAAAAAAAAAAAAAGTAAGCAGTAGTTATAGAATTAAATAAAGAAACATAAGTAGGAACTGCTCATGTGCCCTTCTTTGAAAAGGGGAAAATAATAAAAGATTTACATTTGGAATTTTAATTAAAGTTTATGAAAATGTTTTTCAAAGGAACTAATGCTTGCAGTTTGCTTTAATATAAAGAAAACAATAAATAGAAGAAAATTAGCTTACATAGCTAAGAGTTATCTTAAACTCTTGCATTTAATAAAGAAATGTTGAAAATAAGTAATAATACTTTGAAGAGAACAGATTTATTGAAAATTTTAGTAGTCATGTTATTTACCAAAAAAGAAACTAAAATATTAACTTTCTGTAGACAAGCTGAGTGGATTGGTTCATGAATTTAGAGGCAGTAATTGTAAGTTCAATCTTTGAGTTGGGTAGTGCAGACTTAGATTCATTAAAAGCAGTGAGAGCAATAATTGAATAGTAATAAATAAGAGCTAGGTGAGATGGCCAGCAGAATGAGAACAATCTACTCTCATAGATTAGATCAAGGGTTCAGTTTGAACTTCCCTGAAAGTTACCGAGATTGATAACCACCTGATTATAAATTTTGGAGGGCACAATGGCTGAAATATGGTGACAACAAACATGAGAACAATGGTTAGAATGTAAACTAACTTTTTTGATTTAAATGAGTGTTTTCTTTTCTACTTTAGTGTTGCCAAGCAGTGAAAATAAATGCATAACTCCTCCAACAGTTATGCAAAAATTAAATCTTACCTGATTTAGGGGAAAATTAGAATATTCTATTTTGAAAAACTTAACCTTAAAATCCATCCTTAATTACAATTATTTAAGTTTTATATGATTTTTCTATTTATCAAATTATTTACAGAATATAATGTTGGTATGTAAGAAAGATTTGTGACTTTGAACATTTAAATAAAATAGAAATCTGTTAAATAATCAACATAAATTATTTACCTCTGAGAAATAGTTCTGAAAATTGAGTTTCTATATTTGTATGACATTTTTAGATTATCCCTTCAATCTAGTATTGTGACTTTGCATTATTATCTACCATAACACAAAAATGCTTTTCTTCCTCAATTACAATCATTCATTTAATTGTTCGTTTCTCCTCTTACAAATTTGTAATTTTTTAAATGTGAAAATGCAAGAAATTCCTTTTCTGCTCATTTCCTTATCCAATTCTAATCTTTAAGATTAAATTAAGAATAGCAATACACAAGAATAAATGCCACTGATGAAGAAAATATTAATCCTCAAAGCAATAAATTCATTGTACTGTATTGTAATGGAAACTGCTCAGAGAAAATTCAACTCCGATTTCAATAAGTTTACCAATAACGTTTTTAGTAAATAGAAGTTAACTGTTGTTAAATCTAGGTAGGTCCTTGGAAGATGTGCTGTAAATGGGATTGTTGGCAAAGTGATATTTGCAAAAATGTTAACCTTTTAAGCAATACATTTTAAAATTAATTTAGTGTTATACTTTTTTAAGATTAGTTTCTTTTAAACTAATTTTTTCAAGTGAAGGTACTAATGCTACTTTCCTGCATTAAATTTTACATCTGTCAAAAGGCTTCAACTTGGACTTTCTATAGTCTGAAATTAATTTTTTCCTTCCTGAAATTCTCCTTTCCTGAATTTCAGCTAACTGAAAATCACAATGCACATCCTTTCCAAGAAAATCAGGTAACTTAAATTTTATCTGTGAACGTTCCTTGTCTTCAGTGTATATTTCTAAGTGTATGCATGTATTTCTTCAATGTGGCTAGATCATTCCCTCATGCTTTCTACTTAGTCACAGACTCATAATACCTTTATTTACAGTTTTGTAGTCATCTTATGTTGCTAAAATTCATTTGTATTTTTAAGCTTTTTTGCTCCACCAGTACAGTTGTTAAATTATAAATTTTATTTTTTACTTTTTCTCCCCCCCCCCTTTTTTAACTTAATTTCAAGCACAATTTTTATATTGACTGAACTATTACAAGAAATTAATTTGGAAATTTAACATTCTGTATAGCTGAAATGATTTTGTAGTGTTTTCTTATTTAATAAAGAAGTGACTAGTTTTTACTTTTTTAAATAAGGCCAGTGATTGAGTTACACCAGTTAATTCAGTTTAGGGATTAGGTAAAAGTTAAATATTTCTTCAACATTTTTTAATAATCAAATAAGTCTTCCTTTTATTATATAATGAATTCACATAATGATAGAAAAATATGACACAACCATGTAACACTTTGTTATTAATTTTGGTTTTGTTCAAAAATTAAATCTTATCTGATTGAGGGGAAAATTGGAATATTCTATTTTGAAAAAGAAATTAAAAAATCTATCTTTAAGTACAACTATATAAGTTTTATATAAGTTTTCTATTTATCAAATTATTTGCAGAATATAATGTTTGTATGAAAGAAAGAATTATGGCTTTGAACATTTTTGTAAAGTGGATTTACTTAAATAAAATAGAAATCTGTAAATGAATTATCTCTGAGAAATAGTTCTGAAAATAAAGTTTCTATATTTGGATGACATCTTTAGATAATCCCTCCAATCTAGTATTGTGAATTGTGATCTCTTGCATTATTATCTACCATAATACAAAGATGCTTTTCTTCCTCAATTACAATCATTCATTTAAATTATCTTTTCCAGAAATTTGTATTTTTTTAAATGTGAAAATGTAAGAAATCCTTTCCTGCTCATTTCCTTATCCAATTCTAATCTTAAAGATGAAATTAAGAATAGCACTGCACCAGAAAAAAATGCCACTGATGAAGAAAATATTAATCATTAAAGTAATAAACATGCAATAAATTCATTATAATATATTGTAATGGAAACTCCTCCTCCTCTTATGATAATTACATGAATATGTGATTGATTGAAGAAACTGTTTTATATATATATATATATATACACACACACACACACACTCTTAATCCCTTCATTTCTTGAGGCCTAGCAATGCTATTTCCAGCTGCTTCAATAAGTTCATTTGCACAATGTTTTTGTAATCATCTTGAACAAGTGCTTTCAATTCCAGCTTTAACAGAAACTCAGAATAGTTCAAGCCTCAATGTTTTCTTGCTTTTCAGATGTTCTTCCCAGGACAGATTTGTTGCGTGAGATATCTCATTTAGTGCCATATGGCTTATTTGACATATTGAAGTTGTCAAAATTAAATCATAATTAAAAAATTTTCTAAGAACATTTTTACAGGTGATTACAAAAATTCAATTTGTAAATCTTTTAAATCAAAGGTGAAAACAGTTAAAGGATTTCCACAATTTTAAGATTTTTTTAAAGAGTTAATTAAAGAGTTAATAAAAGCAAAATATCATTAACTGCATTTAAAATAACTTTTGAAAAATAAGTGACCTTTGTTTGACATATACCATATTTTGAGCATTTTTTTTTCCATATTTGCAATATTAAATACTGCTAAACAGAATTTTCAAATTTATAACTAAATTTTTTATAACTTTGTAACCTAAATTTTCATTAAAATATGCTTCTATTTCTGACATGAACTTGCATTGTTATAGCACCATCAAAACTTTGTCATGCATTTATTATTTCTTTATTTATTTATTTCAAGGATGAGAACTTTCACTTTTCAGTTTCACACACTTTGACTTTTTTTTTCTCAGTCCAAAGATTGTTTGATTGTCATTCCATTCAATATTAAAGATGCATTTTCAGTATCAGGATAGGCTTTTGTTAACTATGATTTTCTTTTTATCCTCTTTGTTAGGGTATAAACCAACCTGGTTACAAACCACTGACAGAAGCTGAAGTCTATTCACAAGTTGCCAGACTCTTTCAGAATCAAGAAGATCTTCTTACTGAATTTGGCCAATTTCTTCCTGATGCTAATGGATCAACCTACATGAATTGTGTATGTTGCATGTGAAAACTTTTTCTTTTCTTTTTTTTTTAATTTAAAAACAAAAATTTAAGTACAAGAATTGATCTGAATTAAAAGCTATAGTAAATATGAGAAATTGCTCTGATCAAGAAGCCCTTTTAAAAAGTAATTCTAATGTGGTTATTTGGTCAGATTTTGGAAAGTTGGTTGTGCTGGAAAAATTTTCAGCGCACTCATGTATATGACTGCAATAAATAATATCAAATAGATAATGTTTATCGATCTAGTTGGTTTCTCATAACCTTCAATTCCTCAGATAATATACTTCAAGTGTACATTCTTAGAGGCATATAGTAGACCTGATTTGTCTAAAAACGACCCAGCTATTTAATATTAATTAAAAAGTAACAGTGGTACTTTTAGTTTCAAAATATTCTTCTTCACACTTATTCCAGCATACATTCTACTTTTCAATACAGTCTGCAAAGTTCTCTTTGACTGTCATCAGCTATCTCATCTGCAGTCAAGTGATTTTAGCTTTGGGAAAAACCAGAAGTTGCAGCAAGCCAAACCTGTTGGAAGACTGATAGATATGGGTGATGCAATGTTTTGCAAAAATGAAACTCATCATGAATGGGCAATCCTCTTGCAATATCTTTTATTACTGGCAAAGTTTGTATGGAACCAACATTAAATGGAATCCTGTTAATCCATACATGAAACATTCAGTTGGTTATATATGTGATAGATGACTGATTTGTCATGTTTATTTTTTTATTTTTAAGAAATACAAGTTGTTGTTTGTTAATAACTTTTTTTCTTATATATAGTCCTCATCACCACAACAAAGTGATTCTCCACTTAGTGTGCGAAATGATCGCACTGCTAATGTCAAGAAACCAGGAATTAATAACAAAACACAAAATAACAAGAGCAGTTGTCAGTTGAGACGCCCATCTGCCAGTCAACCCCCACCAACCAAGGTAAATACTGTTTTGTTCCTTGTTGACCAAATCTGATGTTATTTTTAAGAAATCTGATGTTATTTTTAAAATAAAAAACAGAAAAAAACTGATAATGGCAAGTTATATTTTGTGTCAAATAATTTTTAGATTGATATAAATATGCTGAACAGTTTTATATTCTTGACCCTATCTTGTTCTCTGCTGCTGAACACCATGCATGAAAAATCTGCTTTCATTTTCATAACTTCATTTGAAAACTGGTTTCACATCAGAAAAATAACTTGCAAAAGCAGATCTAAAATATAGAATTTACACTAAAATGATTGGTTTTCTTTTTGCAGAAATTGAAACCTAGCAGTTTAAAAGATGTATCATTAGCAGAAGCTGGAAAACATGGCACACTTAATGAGTTTGCCTTTTTTGACAAAGTGAGTTCTGTTAAAAAATAGTTTAACGCCCAAATTTTTTATGTACTTGTAGTTCATCAATGATTTATGACTCGGGTTGTTTTTCCTAATTTTGTGAAGGCGCATGTCTCTAGCCAATATGCAAGAATATATTTATTTACAGAAAATATAAATTTACACTCCATGTAATAATTTTCATTCAGTACACCGAATTCTCTTTCATCCTTTCTATTTAAAAAAAATTTAATATAAAGCAAGATTATTCTTAAAGAATTATTTTTGTTGAAGGATTTATTATAATGACCAACTTGTTAAAATATTAATGTGTATGATGTATATAATTGTTAAACATTTATGTATGTCCTCTCCTAAATTATAAAAATCAATAAATTTGATTATGATTTGTTTCCATTACAGGTACGGAAAATGTTAAAGAATTCAGATGTTTATGAAAATTTTCTACGATGTCTGATATTATTTAACCAGGAAGTGCTTTCAAGATCTGAATTAGTTCACATGGTTCAAACATTTCTGGGGTAAGTTTTTTTTTTTTTTTTTATTTTTTTTTATTAATGTTTGCTTAGACTTTTGTTCAAAGTAGGATTTTGCTTTAATTTGTTTCTGCTTACAGAGAATTGAACAATATCTGAAATAAACTTAGAATATGAGTAGGTGCTGGAAAGTTCTTAGTTTTGTTTCTTCAGGGATTTCTTAAACCAGGTGTGTCAAACTTGTGGGCTGCATGCGGCCCTTTACATGTATCTTGGCAGCCCTTGGAAAGTTTTCGGTATGATTAGATTGTTTATTCTATCTCAATTGTTTTTTTTGTTTTTGAATGTCAGCGATTATTTTTAACTTCCGGTTAATCATGTGATCATCTTTGACAACTAAATACGAATAAATGTAAAGTGAAAACGTTCGTAATTTTGTAACATTTTGCCTTAAAAATGTCGAATGCTGTTTCCATCTCGTAAAAGAGAAAATCATCTGAAGAAGGACTTTAAAGAAAAGTGAGAATTACAATCATTTTGTACCACTGTTAATGGAAAGATAAACTGTTTGATTTGCAACCACAGCATTGCGACGCCAAAATAATATAATGTGAAAAGACGTCATGAAACAAAGAATCGACCTTATGATATATAAGGAATATGTGTATTTCAAAAGTGAAGGAATTCAAGGTTAAGTTAACACAGCAACAGAATTGCTCTACAAAAAATTCAGAAAGGCAACATTAGTTCTGTTATTTCAAGCTTTGAACTCTGCCAAATGATCGCCATAAGTAGAAAATTTTACAGTGAAGGAGATTTCATAAAGCGATGTCTTGTAAAAACCGCTGAAATTGTATGTCGAGAGAAGGTACACTTATTTAAAGACATTTCATTAAGCAGGAACTCTGTTGCTAAATGGATTGATGAAATAACAGGTGATTTGAGTCGACAGTTAGTTTGGTTTATCAAGTTTTACGGCATATCAACCTGAATGGGTTATTTAATGCCGACAACGTTTTTAGGATAGATTCGTATGATTAGAATATGTATTCCTTGATTCAGATGAATTTTGTTTTTTTTTTAAGGTACATCAACCTCAATGGGTTATTTAATGCAGACAACATTTTTTTGCCGGTGATATTTTGTTTTGTCAAAAATCTGTTTCTAGTAATATTTCAAGATTGTATTGCGGGTAATAATTTTTATCAAAAATGTATTGCTGGTAATAGTTAACTATTTGCCCATAGCTGGGACCCTAACAGGTGCTACCACCCTGGGTCAGGGCGGACCTGGGAACACCATAAAATAATAAGTGGTTTCACGCTCCTCAAAACCTCTTGATCAGAGGCCTTGCTGCTGGATGTAGTTTATCGTCTTACTCAGGACGCGAATGGAATTTAACGTCTTACCCAGGAGGATGAGTCGACATTTGAAGGAATTATCATCAAGTTTTGAACGTTTTTCTATAGCTCTGGATGAAACTGTTGACATAGCTGAATAGCACAGCTCACCGTTGTGACAATGGATTTGAAATTTATGAAGAACTAATTGAACTGGTTTAATGCATAATACTACAACAAGAATTTTCAGAAAGTTGAACTACTTCTCCATGAGCATAGAGTTGATTTGAGTAAACGTTTGTGTTTATCTACTGATGGTGCTGCCAATATGGTTTGAAGGCATAATTTGTTCCTGCCAATTTAAGTACAAAAATAGAAATTCATATATCCAGATTCAATATTCAAGCATTTCCAGTGTATAATACATCAAAAGAAATATTCTAAGATTTTAAAATTAGATCATGTGTTGAGTTTTGTCACAAAAACAGTGAACTATATCATCATATGTAGATCAGTTTGCATTACTCTCAGCACCATTCACTTTTGATGTTGCTCAGGCAGGGAACGTTTATAGATGGAACTACTGAAAATGCAGACTGACTCAACACTCAAGGGAAAGTACCTAGAAGTAGGGGTACCTGGATTTTTTCATACCTTCCTCCAAACATTTAAGAACTTCAGAAAGTTTGCCACAAAGATTATGACGATGTTTGGTTCCACATATGTCTGTGAGCAGTTATTTTCGTTTATGAAGGCCACAATAATGTCTAACAGAACCAGATTAACTGATGAACATTTGTCATCTTTGATCAAAGTGGGGTCTACACAGATATTACAACCTGATATATCGAGAACAGTTAATCTAAAGCGATGTCAATCATTAGGACAACATAAAAATGTTTAAAGCGTACTACTTTGTATTGTAATTATTTGTATTTAAAGTTTAGTTACTATTAGCTGTGATTAATGTAAGGCTGTACGCAGGTGCGGTCCTCGAGGCTGCAGATATTTGCGATGCGGCCCTCCATATACGTTGAGTTTGACATGCCTGCTTGATCAAATGTTTGTATAATAAAATCAGAAAGATCAGAATTGTAACTCACAAAAGAGCGGAATGGAACATTGAAGGTATATCTACATAAAAAATGGTTGCCCAATCGGTAAACGAGTATGACCATTGTTGTAAAGTTTCATCTTTAGTATTAGTAGTATTAGTTGTCGTGGAACAGTTAATGGCCCTGTTGAAATCAGCAGGTTATTGCATTGCTTATTACAAACGTGGTGAAATAGTTGCTTTTGTACAGGACATGGCTTGATTTTAAATTCTTTTCTGTTTGCTTGTCGATTTTCATGCGATAAGACACACATCGCCTCTTAACGCACAAACATATACATATATATGTATAAGGATTGCATTTTCTAAAACGGATATTTTGAAAGGTATTCAATATTTAGAATAGAGCGTAAATATATTTCTTTTAAATTGAAAATAAATACTTACTGTAAATCTGTATTTCAATCTGTATTTGAATTATTATTATTATTATTATTATTATTATACTGACTACACAGTTTCGTGGTTCATGTCTATTTTCAAGGTTTTTTCAACGGTTTTTTCTATATAAATGTCCGGTTATATTCGTGTGTCCTTTTTTATATTATTTCAACCCAAGAAAGGCGATAATACCACTAAGTCGCAAGGAGTTATGGATAGGGGACTAGAATTAGAAGAATTTAATGAAGAAAAAGGACAATAAAAGAACAGGATTGCTTCAGGAAGACGTAAATAGCGTTTGGCGTTACAATGAAACTTTTAAAGAATATAGTTGGCAGGGAAGCAAGCAACTAGAAGAGGGTTCAACAAGGAGAAAAAGCGCGAAAAGAAATTATTTAAATAGAACTTACAGTTACATCTACCTAATTGAACAGTAAAATCATGAGACCTATTAGCCAAACTTGTACTTCGCTAGTCGGCATTTCTTTCGACCTAAATGCTATTCAGCAATGGGCATATATTTTGGGTCTATGTTTTTACGCTGAATCTTTATAAAAATCAAGGTTTTTTTGCCCCATCACATCAGTTTTTCTCAGGACAGATATTTTCTGTTTTTCTTATGATAGGCCATAATGCCTAATTCACAGAGATATGTCATGGTTTAAATATGCGAGCGACGTAGTTGAAACATTTCGTTTCATGTTAAAATGATTTAAGATTCAACAAAAAAGTATTCAAATAACATTCAAAAATGAATTTAAGCTATTTCAGTTCAGATAAGCTGACCTGAAAATGTTTGCTTTTATGAGAGATATCTCACTTGAAAATGTTCTTGTGCCCTCAATGTTCTTAGCTTGTTAAAAGTTTGTGATTTGTATTTCTAGTCTACTTTTCGTAGAAGAAGCTCTTTAGAAGTCATTGAAGAACAGCGATTTTAGTTTTTTTTATTAGTAGTTTTCACTTTAAACATGAAACCGTCAAAAGATTTTTATGATATCACTTGAATTTACGGAGGTCTGGTATTTTCATGCAGTCTCTGTTAAATAGGCATAGGAACATCGATAAATAATGGTTATTAGGGTGTTAGGCGAGTCTATTTAAGAAGAAGATGCATGGGAATCATTTGTAGATGGTGTCCGCAATTTCTAGGGTTAAAAAAGAAGATAACTATAAAGGGGGGTAATGGAAAGGCTTTCCCAGGTCCTTTTAAATTACTCAGTGCAACATGAGTATCAAAATTCCCTTTTTTTCCTAATAATCTTGGTGATTATAGTAATGAACAGGAGAGAGGATTCATGAGAATCTCAAGCTAACGGAAGAATGATAGAAAAGCAGATGTCATATTAACATCATGGCTGATTTCTGCTGGAACATCAAAAAGAGATCAACTTTTCAAAACCACCATAGAGTTTCCAAGAAGAGAAGAAATATTTCTTTTGGATGAACAAAAATAAATGTAGTTTTCCTTCCTTTTTATCCTCTTTGTTTTGATTCAAAAGTTGATGCTACATATTTTCCTTAATTTAATTTTGTATGAGACTTTTCTGAATGCTTTTTTCCTGAACTGAAAATGCTGAAAATGCATTCTTTAAGTTATTGTAACCTGAAACCGTTTAAGGTTGATTCTACTTAGCCCTGGCATATCACTGCTAAATGGGTACTTTGCTCTATTTTAAGCAAAATAAAAGTTTATATGTACTAAGAAAACGGGATGTAATGGGGAAAAGATGAACTTGATTTTCAGATTCAGCATGAATAAATACCCCAGAAACATATGCCCATTGCCCAACAAAATTTGGGTCGAAAACAAAAAAGTCAAGGGGTGTTATTTAAAGGTGCTTACATTGAACAAAAGCAACGATCCATTAATAACAATAAGTATAGACTAAAAGCCCATATTCTTAGTAATACATATAAAAGACTCAATTAGGCGCTAAAATACGTGACTGATACATACGAGGTCAGTTCAAAAGTATTTCACAAATTTTATTCAATCACCTTAAAAATACTTCACTTGGGAGTTCAAACACGTCTCTCGGCGGTTCCGACAGAGCTGGTAACACCTCTTGAACGCCTTCTCTGAAATGTTATGAAGCTCGGATATCGCTTTTCTCATAATTTCTCACTAGTGACTCAAATCGCTTCCCTTTCAGCGTGGTGTTCACATTGGGAAGAGGCACAAGTAATATTGTGCAAAAAGAGAGTAGGGAGACT